CCCCATGTCTCACCCCAAGAGTTTTTTACGTTATAATAATCTTGTTTAGTTGTGCCATTATTAAATGTATCATATCCAACAATAGTCATTGTGTGAGACCAATCTGTAGTTATACATGCCGGCTCATCATAAACACCTGATGCATAGAAGAAAAAGGAATCGTGTAAATCATCAACCGCTATTCCAATGGGACCCACAGTAGCAATAGCTATTTGTAAGGCTGTTTCATTTCCTTTTGCAATATTGACAAAACCCTAGAGGATGAATAAAACCGAAAATAAAAAAGAAAGTAACATAGATATAATATTTACTGTATCAGTTGCACCCACAGTCGATTGATTGAAGCGACATTGACCTTGCAATGCTTCGTAGGGATAGCTTGCTTCTGTATCTACACCTTCGTTGACTTTGATATATTGAAATGCAGCATTGACTAGTCCTCCATTACAGCCATCATTGCCAAATTCACTTGAACAATCCAATAGATTCTGAGCTGAAAGTCGTACTAGTTTGCCTGTCTTAAGAAAATGTTGTCCTTCCAGTGCGGTCGTTGCTGTATAAGCCCAATCCGAAGCACATTGACCTTGACTCTCAATTATCGAAGTTACAGCGCCCTTCTCACGCCAATCTACAAATATATATGTAATTAAGAAGAACTCATTTAATAGATACTGACCAACAGCAGCTGGTATCGGTGTATTCGGCGGCGGACGAAATACGTTTCGATTTGATTTAGTTGACATCTTTGTAGTTCGACTCTTTTGAAATTTATTCGACATAGTTTGCACAATCTCATCATGTGTCTAAATATGATCAATATTTATGAAACTAATAATCGTAATCAATCTATAGTTATACCATGTCAGCGAATTGATTAATCTTGAGTTTATAAGTGTACAACCCCAAATCAGCTTCAAGATTATGTTGATTAATCATGGCAGCTCTATCGTTGAAGATAGTTTGACTAGAAATATTACAGAATTTAATAACATAAATACTCTTGATTCGAATTTTCTTTCTTACCGATAATTTTCTTCTTCAACATTGACATACTGTTTCATGTGAACATGTTTGAACAAATTCCAAAGTTCTGATGATGTTAACTCATTGGATTTTGCTCCAGAAAAGGAGAAGAAAATAGCAATGAGAAAGCAAAATAAATGCATGTTAATAAGTGACTCTAAACTGAGTTGTGATAACAAGAAAAACTTTCACATACACTTTAAATACACAAAAGATAACAACTATGATAACGTCATTAATATAACTTTCATGATCTATTTAAATTTATATCACATACTACAAAGCATTATAAAGTATCTTGACAATGTGGGTGTGTGAGAATAGCTATTATGATCGTGATTTCGGTACAACTGTAGATCTCATACACACACAACCTCGTTTATTGTATAAATTTCACTTTTTGTTGTCCAAGTAGACAAAACTTCGAGTGATCAAATTTTGAACGTACGAAATGATAGATTTCTTTTGGCAAAAGCAGGCCTCGCAGCCGGTATACTTTCCTGTTTTTTTCCTGATTTTTTAAAAACGTCCTGCTTTTCCTACTTTTGGCCAAAAATCCTGAATTTCTCCTGATTTTTCATAATTCATTCGCATAGTCATTAAATTTCCCTTATCATGACATATTATAATATTCTTAACTTAATTTATTTTCAAAATGTATATTAAAATATTATATATCATACATTTATAATCCACCAGAAGGTGTTATGTTCTATCCAGCAATTTATTTTGTTTTCATTCTTACTGAAATTATTCTAACTATTCTCATTACAAATATGTTGATTGGTAAGTTGATTTGTTCTGAACGTTTTTTATTCATACGATGTATATATAATAAATATAACAATTTAGGTTTGGCGGTGGGAGAAATTCCAAGCTTGAAAATTCAGGCACGCCTTCAAAGAAATAAAATGTTATATGAATTATTTTTTGATTATGAAATTGTTCATCTTCAATTTAAAATAATTGCACGATCTGTTTTATATCTCTTATACAGTTGTGTGCATTGTCGATGTAATAAGTCAGACACCAAATTATATTGTGTCAAACCATCTGCCTGGTTATGTGAAGTTCATGTAAAGAATGAAATCGAAGATGATCAATCATCAGATGCTCAAAATCCTATTGTGAAGTTTTTCAAATGGATTCGTGATAAGATAACAGAAGACGACATCCAACCGCTGATAGTAATCGAGAGAAATTACAAGAGACATCATCCAGATATGGAAAAGAAGAATGACTTAAATGATGATTATGATGCTTGAATTATTCATAGAGTAGATGTTTGATGGTTTTTCTCTTTTAGAATAAATCCATCATTTTTTGTGATTTATTGATTTAATTGCTAAAGAGTGTGGGTGTGGGTGCGGTTGTGGGTTGGTAGGTGTAGATGATTATGATGACACAGTCATCTTCCGTACCTACCCTCAAGGTGGAAGTCTTGATGTATACTAAGAGCTACATTTAAGTTAACTACAGATTGGTTGCAGTCGAACCCACATATATCTTGTTTCTCGCCTCCACGGAGTTGATGGAGGAAAACAATAGATTTCATTTCGTTCGGAGGATATGGATTACATGGAGATTGACATTCAATTACATCCTCGGAAATAAAAATTCGCCATGACATAATGTTTTCTACTTGCCTTCATAGCCAAGCATAACATTACGCTAGAAACATGGCTCACAATTATTTCTCATTGAGATCCTTTGAGTCATGTCGATATTTTTCTTTCGATTCTGATGAAATATAATGCGTCATTATTTCAGTGATTGATTGAATCAATCGAAAATCGTTCTTATCACGGTGTTATGCAATTACATTGCTTACTCATTTTCTTTCACTGTTGCACAATTACTCGCCGATGATTCAGCACAGTATAAGAAACTATAAAATAGTCGTGCTTCAATTAGATAGAGAATTTTGATGTAAATCGATATATATTACAATGAATAACACTATCTGCACAGTTACTGTTACGAATGGCATGTAACTAGTAAGTTCGAGCACAATCTGATGTAACAATCTGTGGTAAAGTCCGTTTGTTTTCGTTTTATATCACCTTATCGACTAACAGTCTACAGTTTTTCAATTTCTAAACATTTTTCTGTTTACATCAATAGCAAATAAGTATTGTAGAAGTTCATCAACAAGCTTTTTCGCCTAAGAATTGTATGATTGAGTAGTATTTTTAGATAATCTTTCTTGATATGAGTGCTCAATCAATTACTGTCATTGCTTGCGACATTGGTGGTGTGATCAAAGATCATCGTACGGATGAACCAATTGAAAATGCCCTAGAATCTGTCATTCAATTATCGCAAAATCCATCGAATCAACTGATATTCATTTCGAAATGCAAGGATAATTTTAAAAACAAATCCAATGAATGGCTGAAGAAACACAACTTATCTCATATCGAAACATATTATTGTATAGAATATGGAGAAAAAGTGCAAATTGCTCATGATCATCATGTTAATATTATGATTGATGATCGAATGAACGTTCTATCGACGTTTCCATCTTCGGTTATCAAAATCTGGTTCTGTTCGGATATGAAGAAAATTGAAGGTGCAAAGAAATTTCAACCGGATTTTATTGATTCAGTCAGATTAGCTCGAAATTGGCATGAAGTTATTGAACTAGTCGAACAGATACAACTAGACTCAACATGAAATTATACGAAACTCAAAATTAAAATATATTGAATTGTCAATCTCGATTTTGTTTATATACGGTTCAGCAAATACATTTCCTACAACAGTTGAATCCTTTTTCTCTAAAAATAGCTTTCAAATGAAAAACTAAATTCGGTGAGGGTGTGGGTGAATCAAGGACGACCCTACACCCACCCTCAAGATTTTTTTCTAGAAGAAAAACAAATTTTGTTCGAAAAGTTAAATATAGCTTAAATATTATTATGAATCATAATTGTTACACTTAGTTTTGATTTAAAAACGTAACTGTTTTACTGAGAGATAATAATAAGAAGACAAACAGAATTTTCAACACAAGTGCTACTTATCTTGAGGAATCAATATCCAACTGTTATGGCACTAAGAAAATTTTTGAGTAGAACTGTCTTTGTAATACAAAGACCTAAGTATACACGTACATAGTTCTTCAAACTCTATATGAAACTTTTCTTCTTTTCAATGACAAAGGTTTTTACCTGTTGAGATCTTAATAAATGAGTTCATTGGAAAATACTTTATTTTAGAAATATGACAAAAAATCAATCGAATTATTTCATTTTTCATAAAATTGTATTCTTAAATGTTATGAGGATGAAAATATTGATTTGCATTATTCATGATTTATATGTACAGAATAGGACGACATATTTTGAGCACTTATATAATCATACATAGGTTGTTTTCACTTGACAACAAAATATTGAACTTAATGATTTATTTATCATAATCATATTTCATATTTCTTACGAAACAATTAACATCTAGTTTAATTATGATATCGAACTCTTATCAGTTTATTGATTTACCAGTTGAATTTCTACAGATTATTTTTAGTTATCTATGGGGTCAAGATATATTCTATGCATTCTTTGGCATTCATTCATATCTCGATTCGATTTTAAATCGATTCTCAAATCTCAATTTGATCTTATATGTAAATATATTCGACCCGAACAAATTGTAACACTTATTCTATCTGATGACATTGATACACCATATCAGTTCGAACTTTTTTTATCGATATATAATATAGAACGTGATTTTTCTCATCTTCGTTCACTGGTATTACTCGAATCAGTATTTAAAATGACACTTACCACTACCGAGAATTATAACAAATTAGGACGTCATCCATCATACAAATATCGTTATTTCTCCGCACAAGATAGATATAGAAACTATGGTTTAACTTATAGTGCTATTTCATCTCAAATTTCTACTCTCAATAACTACATATCGTACGATGATAATACTTCATTATCAAATCAGAAATATTTAAAAATATCTCTTCGAAATCATCCATTCCAACAAATGAAACGAATATTTCAATCATGTAAAAAATTAATTGAACTGCATGTCAACATGTCTTTAATACAAACTGAAAATCTTGTACATTTTGAACAATAATATCCATATCTCACACGATTCAGCCTTCGAGCTCAACACAGTAAATATAAATGATATTTTGATTTAATAAAATAAAATAAAAATATCATTCTTCTCCTAGAACAAGGATATCGTACAATATCGCGTGTACAACTTGAAGAATTACTCTCTAGTATTCCTCATCTAGAACAGCTCGAGCTTGAGATTTCGGCAGATATTGATCTTATCGATGGTAATCAATGGGAAATATTCTTGACTCGTCATTTAACTAATCTTATTACTTCTGATTTTAAATTTGATTTACATCAATATGAATATAATAATATTCTATTGAATACATTTCGCTCTTCTTTTTGGCTTAACATAAAACGTTGGATTGTTGTATCAGATCCTATTGATTCTAGTTTCAAAACTGTACCTTGTTTTGCTCGAAAAAGCATTCACTTTTCGAACGATTATTCTCAACCAACAACAACAGATGATTCATTACCTTCCTTTGACCGTTATATGTATATTCGTGAAATAACTTTAAGTTCATTTATAAATAATGATTGGATTGAACGACTTGGGTCTATTGTTATTTTTAATCAAATTGAAGAACTCAATATTGGTAGAAATCAGCTTTTAGAAATCTTAATAAAAGTCAAACCTGTAATGCCTCAACTAAAACGACTTATTGTTTCTTGTCTTTCATTGAATACATTATGAAAAAATAATCTAAAAGATTGTTCATTCGAACAAATTCATTCACTTCGATTTTATGCTACAGATTGTACTGTTAATAAGGCTGATAATCTCTGTTACTTATTTCCTAACCTTGAACATTTACAAATCTATTTAAAACATCGTCTTGAAATCATTCCATATTTGGAACGATACATACATTTGTGTACATTTATATGCGAATTAAAAACAGTATCATCGAGTCAACACAACAGAAAGCATGCAACAAGAGATATTGGACATGAATGGTTTGTTAAAAATGTACCACGATGGAGAAACATCAATAATTTTTCTTGTCAAATTACTCAAGCACATGTATATTTGTGGATTAATAATAAGCATAAAAAATGAATATGAACTATAAATGATTTCAATTTGTATCATGTATTTTTTAATGAATACTTTTATTTAGTATTATATAATACATTAAACAACACGATATGAGTTTTTGATCGATATCTTGAGGGTGTGGGTAGGTGGCTGTGGTGTGGGTGTAGGTAGATGTGGGTGAATCAAGAATGACTCTACATCTACACCTGCAGCCAAATCACTCACACCCACACCCACACCCTCTTTAGCAAGATATAAAAGCCTAGACAATCCCAGATATCATTTAGATGATAGAGCTCGATATTTCAACAGGATCGAACTAATTATAAGAAAGTCATTGAGAATGTTACTTCTACTCCGGAGATTCAATATAAATTTGTTTTGGAATTGTGCAAGGACTCGATTCCGTTGACTCGAACTTTTCAAGAAATGAATAATTATCGAAGAGCAATTGCTTCGCGCGAAATTTACCCTTGAACCGATCCTTCAATTCTCAACATTGAAAAAGATATTATATGTGTGAAAAAAAAACAAACACAAGTTCTCAGTAATGAATAGAATTCGTCTATATCTGTTGGAAGATTGGATGTCAACGAAGTGAAGAACGAGAGAACATAACTGTTTTCATAGGAGTCACATGATATGTTTGTTGTTTTTCGTATAGTTTTCTAAGCAAATAAATGCAATTAAATATGTATAAAAAGTATTAGTT